ACCAGAAATCGAACAACTGAACTAACACGTTCCATGTTCGTCCCCCCACTAGCGCGGACTCCCTCGTCTCCAACCCTCCCGAGGGCGCGCGGACTGCCAATTACGCCCCCTGTTCTATTGCAAAATTGAAGATGTAATTTTTCGCGCCGAAGCCAGCCCGACTGGAAAATTCCCGAACGAGCCATCGACCCATCCCTCGTCGACGCGCCATTCCCCTTTCCCTAACCCATCCCAAGCGGGTTCGACGAGCGAACCCCTTCCATATTTCAGGCGAGTTGCCGAAAAGCAAAGTGCCCCGCCGCATCGAGTCCGACCAACAATCCCCGCACGCCCCCCCCAATCGCCCTAACCCCCGCCACCCATTCGCGCCATCGACAACGTAGCGCTGGCGCAGCTTCCTTTTTATTGCGAAGGCCTCACGGCCAGCGCCGCCGACCCTGAAGGGGGACGACGACGACAACGGCGGCGGCGGCGACGACGTGGACGCTGACGTGGGCCAGAGGGATGATTCTTTTTGTCTCTTCGGAAAGCTCTCGGGGTCTCTGGGGAGGAATTCTGTGGCCTGCTCGGGCTTCCCGGAGACCTCTTGTGGGCCTCTTGGATCCTCCATGGGTCGCCTTCACCCGCGCCTCCCATTCGCGCCTTCGACAACGTAGCGCTGGCCCAGATCCCTTCCGTTTGGGCGCGGCCCATTTTCGGCGCGATGTTCTAGGCTCTAAGACGGGCAGAACCTTCGCTCGCGATAGTTCTATCAACATGTAGCCGCTTTCGGCCCATCCCACCGCCGTGCCTCGGGTGTAGGGGCCTCTTGGATGTCTTCTGGCGTCTCTTCGGAATTGGAGGTCGCTTTAAGGGGCTCTCGGAACCTCTGTTGGGCCTCTTGTAGGCCTCTTGCGAGCCTCTTGGGCGCTTCAGGGGTTTTTGGGGCATGTTTTGAGTCTTGGCGGCAATAGTGTGGGAACAGGTATCCCAAACCAGTTTGTGTTCCCCCTCTTTGGGACGCTTTTGGAGGCCTCTTTGGCCGTACAGTCAAAAAACCTAGTAAGGACGCGCGGCTTTTCTCAGGGTACCCTTGCGTCTTTGCTCTTCCTTGCTCTTGCGTCCTTGAGGTTTTCGTCGTCCGCCGCCCGAAAAATCCCAACTTCGGCTTCCACGGGTCTTGCGTCCTTACCGCGCGTCCTTATTAGGGTTTTTGACTATATTGCGGTCCTCTTCGGCCGTCTTGGGGCGACAGGCCTGTTGGGCCGTCATGGGGCGATGAGTCTAAAGTCCTTCAAACACTGAATTAATGATGTTTGCCTCGTAGCGCCCCCGTGGGGGTGGGTCCTCTTGGGGCGTGTTTGTGGCTTCTTGGGCCGTCTTGGCCATCTTGAGCGTTGTGGAGCGCTTTTGGGGTGACTCGGGGCCCTCTTGGACCGTCTGTAGGGGCCTCTTGGGATCATATTGACCCGTCTTGGTGCCCTGTGGCCTCTGGAAAGTCATTCGATACACCGCACTCACATCTATACCCCTGGGTGGGTGTATGTGCGGCCGTTTTTGCGCTGTCATGTGCGCGCATGTGCGCGGCATGTGCCAGTCATGTGCCAGGCCTGTGCGGTCCTTCTTGGATGGACTTCCTACTGTGCACGTCGTGCCCGGGCATGTGCGGGGGCATGTGCGCTGTGTTTTGATGTATCCATCATACGCACATGCACGCACAGTCCGACGCACATGCGCGCACATGCCTGCACATGCGGGAGGTGTTCGAGAATCGCAGATCTGTCATCGGCACATGCACGCACATGCCTGCGCAACCTCTCTTCGGGAGGCCGCGCGGGCCCGCACATGCACGCACATGCGGTGAAGCGCGCGGGCGCACATGCGTGCACATCCCAATGCACATGCACGCTCATGCCCTAGGAGCTGTCTGGGACCCCTGTGCCTCCAATGCCTCCTGGCCTTCGCAGAGCTAACCTGGGGCGTGCCAGGGCTTCCTGAAAGAGTTTGTTGTGCGTTTAGACTCGCCCGCTGCTGGCGGGGGCGGTTCTTCGCCCGGTTCGTGAGCTGGCGGTGGCGCGCCCGCCTAATAAAATACTCTGCCGCGCGCCTTCTCAGCTCGGCCGGAGAAGCAGGGATGGGGGGGGGGGAGGTGGAGGGGAGGGGGAGGAGGGGGGGGCGGAGAAGGCGGGCGCCCCCGGCTCGGCTGGCCCGCCTGCCTGTTCGGCTCGGCCAGAGGAGAAGGAGGAGGAGGAGGAGGAGGAGGAGGAGGAGGAGGAGGAGGAAGAGGAAGAGGGGGAGGAGGAGGAGGAGGTGAGAGTTGCGAGGATGTCTCAGGCGAAAGTGGCTTGACGGCCCGTCTTGGCGGCTTCTTGGACGGCCTCGGCGTTATTTTTGGCCGCCTCGGGGCTTTGTTCGGGCCATTTTGCCGGGCCTTTTCGGCTATTCTCTACGTCAAATAGCCAACCACTTTTCTACTACAGCACCGGCCCCGGCCGGTAGTAGAAAAATCGTGGCATCTAGGCCCGTCTGGACGGCTTCTTGGACGGCTTTGGCGCTATTTTTGGCTGCCTCGGGGCTTTGTTCGGGCCCTTCTGCCGGGCCTTTTCGGCTATTCTCTACGTCAAATAGCCAACCACTTTTCTACTACAGCACCGGCCCCGGCCGGTAGTAGAAAAATCGTGGCATCTGGGGCCGTCTGGACGGCTTCTTGGACGGCCTTGGCGTTATTTTTGGCTGCCTCGGGGCTTTGTTCGGGCCCTTCTGCCGGGGCTTTTCGATTATCTTCTACGTCAAATAGCCAACCATTTTTCTACTACAGCACCGGCCCCGGCCGGTAGTAGAAAAATCGTGGCATCTGGGGCCCTCTTTTTTCTGCTTCTTGGACGGCCTCGGCGCTATTTTTGGCTGTCTCGGCCACCGGCGAGCTCGGCCTGTGCGAATACTGTGCGTACCTGTGCAGTGCATGTGCGGGACGTGCACGAATGCCGGGGCCGGCGTTCGTCTCCGGACGCCGGCGCGTTCGCGTCCGGCCAGTTCCGCGTGAGACGTCGTCGGCAATCTGGAGGCCGACGTGCTTTGACATGAAGTGATCTGGCCACCTTCGCCTGAGACATCCTCGCAACTCTGGTCTCGGAGATGCCCTGCCCCATGGTGGCCCGGCCACTTTCGCTTGAGACATCCTCGGGACTCTGGGTTTCGAGACGCCCTGAGCTGAGGTGGTTAGACCACTTTCGCCTGAGACATCCTCGCAACTCTGACCTCAGAGATCTCCTGCCCCATGCTGGTCAGGCCACGGTCGCCTGAGACATTCTCGCAAGTCTCGATTCCGATATGCCCCGAGCTGAGGTGGTCAGCCACTGTCGCCTGAGACATCCTCGCAACCCTGATCTCAATGATGCCCTGCTCGATAGTGTCTCGGCCCCTTTCGCCTGAGACATCCTCGGAACTCGGGGTTCCGAGACGCCCTGAGCTGAGGTGGTTAGACCATTTTACCTTTGGATATCCTCGCCCGAGATGCCCTGAGTTGAGCTGTTCAGGCCACTTTTGCCTGAGACATCCTCGCAACTCTGACCTCAATGATGCCCTGCTCCATAGTGTCTCGGCCTTTTTCGCCTGAGACCCTCGCAACTCTGGGTTCTGAGATGCCCTGAGCAAGTGGTCAGGCCAGTCCTGCCTGAGACATCCTCGCAACTCTGGGCTCCGAGATGCCCTGGGCTGAGGTGGTCAGACCACTCTCCCCAGAGCATCCTCGCAACTCTGACCTCAGAGATCTCTTGCCCCATGGTGGTCAGGCCACTTTCGCTTGAGACATCCTCACAACTCAGACCTCGGAGGTGTCCTGCCCCATGGTCGTCTGGTCACCTTGACCAGCGACATCCTCGCCACTCTGGTTTCCAAGATGCCCTGCCCCATGGTGATCCGGCCACGCTTGCCTGAGACATCCTCGGAACTCTGGGTTGCGAAATGCCCCGAGCTCAGGTGGTCAGGCCACTATCGCCTGCGACATCTCTGCGGCATGTGCGGGCATGTGCGTCTATGCTTTCAGAGTTTTGCTTGACCGTGCATTCGACTGTTCGTCGGACGGTGTGGCATGTGCGCGCATGTGCGGCAATGCTGTTGAGGCTTTTATATACTTGCATGGGCATGTGCATGCGACTGTGCGGCATGTGCCTGCATGTGCGGCCCCTTCCGGACCACAATTTCAAAGTGAGCACTATAGAAGTGAGCGCTATAGAAGTGAGTCCGGTGTAAGCCCCGAGAGTCACAGGGATCTCCAAGACATCCATCAATGTTGAGCGGCTTCTTGACGAGTAATCCAATTTTCAACGCGGAGGGTTTGGGTGACACTTTACTCAGTGCCTACGGCAATATTTCGCACACGCGCATAATCATTATACATGCACGCCGGATGGGGTCGAGAGTTTCTGCGGTCACTCGAGAAAGGAGGCAGTTCAAGGTTGCACAGTTCACGCGATGGCAGAACCCACAGTCATGATTCCTGCGGTGGCAGAAAGTTGATTCCACGTTGCCACAGCAGTTTGGGGCTCTGCCGCCAGAATTTCAACCCCATGCTTGAATGTGCAAAGGTATACATTGTTAGTAAAAGTATGTGCATGCGGCGCCGCGCGTGGGCCAGAGGTGTTGCCCGATAACAGAAGTGGAAGCGGGAACCCGCGTGTTTGAATATTTCTTCTCCCGCGTTCGACGAAATATGATCTTCAAGTCTCGTGACGGTTGCATTCGGGGATGTACGCGAGCGTGCGAGTGATGTTTCGGCACGTGTTGGGTTGGGGAAGATTCGGGCGAGGCGCAGCATTGACAAACGGTATTGGCTAATTACGTCTCCGTGTCTCTTGTGTTTGTAAGCAGAAAAGCTTCGTGGACGCCCTCCCGCTTACTCGCGTTCTCCTTAAGCGTTGGAGGATTTGGCATAGACTTGCTATGGTGTCGTTTGTAGCCGGTACATCGCCCCTGGGGCAGATATTGCACATGTGTATTGTGAGTGTCTTTGGCCCGCCCAGGCTAGAGCAAAGAGAAGACACCAGCGGAGACGCGAAAGAGAACGACAAAGGCCAGTCGTTTGCACATTGCATGTTGCATGCTGTAGCGGATGCTTCATGTTGCGACTTGACACCATTTTCATCATCATGTGAGGTTTGGGTGGATGGGCAGGAGCAGGATTGTGGAGTAGAACGAGGAGGAGCAGGGGGGTCTACCTCCGCTCTCCCAGTCCCCCCCTCTTGGCTCCGTAGGGGTCGATTTTGATGATGATGGGGAGGAGGAGGAGGAGGAGGAGGAGGAGGAGGAGGAGGAGGAGGAGGAGGAGGAGGAGGAGGAGGGGTACTCTGGCGACAACGACACCCGCGCGAGCTCCCAGGGAGAGAGAGAGGCAGAAGGCGCTGGAGGAGTACATTAAATGGGAGAGGCCCGCCTGCACGCTTGGCCTGGCGGCCTCTCGCACCCCATTCTCACCTCTCAAGCGTTGCTTTCGTCCGGACGTATGACCGCGCGCAGATGTGAACGCATCTGCACATTCATGCACATGTGGATGTACATGAGCGTGCACGCAACGCTTGCCTATGCTCGCTGTCTCTCTCTCTCTCTCTTTCTCTCGCTATCGCGCTCTCTCTCTCTCTTTCTATCGCGCTTTCTCTCTTTCTCTCTCTCTCGCTGTCTCTCTCTCTCTCTCTCTCTGTCTCCCTTTTTCTCGGTGGGGGGGATAGGGAGTGCGAGGGTTAGCTCACGACGATGACGAGGCCCTGGACGGGCAGCATGCCGTCGGCGTCGGAGCTCACACCACGTGCCATCGAGCCGCTTATTTCGGGCAGGACGAGTGACTCTTGCTGCGGCGTGCGAAAAGGGAAAGGGGAGGAGACGTAGGAGGAGGAGGAGGAGGAGGAGGAGGAGGAGGAAGAGGAGGAGGAGGAGGACCAGAGTAAACCCAAGAAAACCAACGATGCTGCGATACGGCCACTCGCATCACATTCTCTCCTCAACCAGTCCGTGCGGTAGTTGTTGTTTGGCAGTGCCCCCTTCAAAGACGACCTCCATGGTCCCGCAGAATGATCAAGAATTCCCTTTGGTTGAGAATTCCTCTTGCGTCCTCCCTCCTCTCTCGTCTTTGTTTTTGTTTTCCCTTGCCACCCCGTGTCCCTCTTCATTTTCTTCTTCTCCTGCGGTCCCCCTTCAGCGGCCGCGGCGCGTCGCCGCGAGCGGCGCCCCCGCCTTCCGCGAATGGCCCCGCCGCTGGCGGTGGGCGAGGAAGATTACGAGGAGAAATGAAGGGGGGAGGGGCAGGGGCGCGAGGCGGGCGCGGCGGCAAGGGCGGCCCGGCAGGGGAATGGGGGGGCGAGGGGGGAGGACGGAGTGGGCGGGTGTTTCTGTAATGATCACGTTGGTGATCATGGTCGTGGTCGCGTTCGTCGCCTTGGTCGCGCTGGTGGTGGTCGCGCCGCTGGTGGTGGGCGGGCAGGTGGTGGTCACGTCGGTGATCGTGCTGGTGTCGGTCGTTGTGGTGGTCGCGAGAAGCGCGGTGGTCGTGGTGGTGGTGATGGCGGTAAATGGTGTTGGTCGTAATCGTCGCGGTGGATGTGGTTGCGGTCGCATCCGTTTGTGGTGATGGTGGCGGTGGTAGTTTTGACGCTGGCGGCGGTCGCGGCGGCTGTGGCGGCGGCTGCGGGGACCTGCTGGCCTAGCGCCAGGGTGCGTTCAGCAGCATCGCGGCATTCGTAATGTTAGAGGGATTCGCTGATCTGCCGAGGTCGCCCAGCGGCCGCCTTCTTCTCGCCAGCAGGGCCGCAGCGTGGGCGATTTTTCCCGAAGGCGACCGGCCTTTTCAGCGGCCGTGGAGCGGGCGACGCGCGTGCGATCCGCCCCGTTGGTGCCCGCCGCGCTGGCGACGCGCTCACCAAATTACCCTCTTGCGAGGGCGACGTGCGCGTTCGAGAGGACGGCTGGCCTTTTCGGCGGTCGACGCGCGGGCGGCGCGCTGGCGACGAATGCGCGACGCACCTTGTCGCGAAGAGGGGGGTCAGCGCGCCGGTCGTCTCACTGGGCGTTAACATACACAAGGAAGCATGCATTGCCTGCGCCCGCCGGCGCATATGGGGCGGTGCGCTAGCCCAATGGAAGACCTCATCATCCGTGATTGCACGCTAATTCGCGGCTGAAAGAGCCCAGCTTTACGCGGGACTTCGCGCGAATAACAACCGCAAGCTGGTGCCAGTGGCGGGTTTACAGAGGTAAGCTTCGATGCAGAGCGCGTGGCGTGCGCTTCAGTGCACGCAGGGTTATGGTGAGTTCTCCTCCTTCTTCTCCTTTTGCTTCGGCGGTTAGCTGGCTCTCTCTCTCTCTCTCTCTCTCTCTCTCTCTCTCTCTCTCTCTCTCTCTCTCTCTCTCTCTCTCTCTCTCTCTCTCTCTCTCTCTCTCTCTCTCTCTCTCTCTCTCTCTCTCTCTCTCTCTCTCTCTCTCTCTCTCTCTCTCTCTCTCTCTCTCTCTCTCTCTCTCTCTCTCTCTCTCATCTCTCTCTCTCCTCTCTCTCTCTCTCTCTCTCTCTCTCTCTCTCTCTCTCTCTCTCTCTCTCTCTCTCTCTCTCTCTCTCTCTCTCTCTCTCTCTCTCTCTCTCTCTCTCTCTCTCTCTCTCTCTCTCTCTCTCCTGTTTCACTGGGGTCTTCCCTCGCGGCCGGGGTTGCCGCCAATGCCGCTGCTGGGCGGTGCCCCGCCAGCTTGGATCTCGCGTAGTGGCCGAAACGGGTTCAGTGGCATTTCGACGCGCTGTTGACAAGTACGGCGCAAGGACTTCGAGTTCGGCAATTGTCGTTGTGAGCGCCCACTTTCCACGAGGGCTTATTTGGCACAGTCAGGGTTGGCATGGCCAAGGGTTGGCGCAGCCAGGTTCGGCATAGTCAGCGCGGACAAACATGGCACGCCCACGATTGGCACAGTCAGCATCAACTGCTCGAGTATATGTTTCTCCCCCCCCTCCTGCGCCCTCTGCAGCGGTTAGCTGCCGCGCCGGGGTGCCCACTGTGCCTGGCGCGCACTTCCCCTCCTCTCCTCCTGCATCCTCATGCCGCAGCGGTTAGCCGTTGCACCGGGGCGCTCCCCCTCCTGTCTCACAGGGCTGTTCCCTAGCGGCTGGGGTTTGCAGCCCAATGCCGCTTCCTGATGACGTTCAGGTGGTCTGGTTTCCACGCAAGGATTCACGCAGGGAATGGTGCTGCGTCGCATTCGGTGAGGCCAGGTGCCCCCTGGCCTGCTCCTGGCTGGTGTCGGCCCCTACTGATGACCGGAAGGTTCCAGTGGGTCTCTCGCTACACTGCCTGCCTTACGGTGCCTGGACCTCGGGTTCGGCGAGCGTGGCACTGTGCGCTCGTTTGCCGACGTTCTCCTGCGTGGACTTCGCTTTCGACGAGTGTTACAGGTTTTACTGCCGTTTGCAGTCTTGTCGGTGATGAGGGTGCCCCCCTTCGCACTTGCGCCGACGCGATGTTTTTGCATTTGTTGTCGCCGATTTCACGGGTGTCGTCTGGGCGTGCCTGTCGGTCTAATTCGTCTCTGACGGTGCTGTTTGCCTGGCTCACACCGAGCGGTCGACCTCCGCGCGCTCGCGGTCGCGCCGCCGCGCCATTTTGGCGGCGCTTGCTTGCTGGTCGCCGCCAGGTTTGGGAGCGTCGGTTCATGGCTCTCCTTCTGAGTGGCTGCCCGCTCGCTCGCTTCGCTTGCCTTTCTTTTCCTGCTGCCTAGTCGCGGCCCGACCTAGTGTTCAGGCGGCTTACGACCTGCCTCGCGATCCTGTTAATAGAAAAAGTATCCCCGCCAGCTTTTTCGCAGCTGGCGGCGCCGCCTGCCCCTGCCACCCGGGCGTTCGACTCGTTTCGCGCGCCCGCGTGCCAAAAGTACACCCGCCAGCTCATCCAGCGCCGACGCCCCGGAGAACTGTCTTTGAGCGTCTTGGGCGCGGCGGGGATCCTCTGGGGGCCTCTCGGGGGTCTCTCGGGGGCCTTTCGGGCCCCTCGGGCGCGTCTCGGGGCCGCCTGGGCGCCTCCCGGGGCTTTGTTTGGGCGCCGCTCTAGGGGGCCTGGTGGCTCAAGCCAATTTTAATTTATTTTTTAACCAAGGAAAAAAAGACACTACACATACATTTCATATATATATATATATATATATATATATATATATATATATATAAGCGGGCCAGCTGCTCGCGCGCAGTTGCCTCCTGCCAGGGCGGCGTCGACTTAGATGCGCGATGGTGTTTTCTGCGCGGACGCATGGGCCGCGCATTTTGGGCTGGGGCCCGCGAGGCTGCGCAGGGGCGCGGCAGGGGGGGATAGTGACGGAGTGGGGGAACTTTGACGCGGTGCTTTTCGCAGGCGCGCAGTCAGCATATCATCGCCAGGACTACGCTGGCAGTCAGATTTATCGTCGACGCGTGGCTGGCAGATTGCTACTTGAAGCACCCTCCGGACCGTGTCCGCACGCGAACGCGAGCTGTGGATCTGCCATCGTGCTAGGCGGCGGCCCGAAGGAACAGCGCGCCGCGGGAACGCGGGCTTCACCTGATGCCGCGAGGGGGGGAGGGGGATTGCAGCTCGAGCCAAACGTGGGCGTCGTGAAGGGGGCTGCAATGGAGGAGGCGCGGCACTTGGGACCATTCATTACCATGCGAGACTCGGCTGGAAATTAAGTTGCCCGTAGGTGCGTCGCTGCTCGATTTGGTTTTCATGCGCTTCGTGGGATGTGGAAGCTTGCGGGTTTAGCGAGAAGGTTGAGGAAATGCTTCTTCGTCGGTTTCGCCCAAAACGCCCTGCTGTCGGGGCTAGAGAGTTTCGCCGCGGCTTCTTTTGATTGCGAGATTTTGGACTCGTGCCTCAGTAGGGCGGCGACAGGATGGAAGGCGGCGAATTTCGGGAGGGGGGGGGGGGGGGGGCGCATCGCGAGCCTCGCGAATCAAGAGGCCCCACGGTTTGGGAACATTTTATATTCTAGCCAGGAGACGAGGATAAGACGTCTCAAGCTTTACCAGACGTGGGGGCGTTGCCCAGAACACTGCGCGCAGGTCCTGGTGGCCCCCCTTGGAAAGTTTGAATTCGCCAGCGGGCCCCAGCTCCTCGCAGGGCGCCCCGCGCAGCGCGCCGCTCCCCGGCTGCGACCGACGGCGCCTGACTTGAGCCAGACCGCCGACCTGTTGCCTGATTGCGCGATTGAGCCAGTTGCTCCGAATTTGTTTCTGTTCGGGCAAGGGCGCAGACGCCGTGGTGGATTTCTGTTCGATTGATTTCACCGAGCTGCGAAGTCGGGAGCTCGGGGGGCAAATCCGCCGCCGGGCTTTCAAGGGGCGTCGTTGCCACGGGCAGGCCCCCCCGCCACCCGGGCGGGGCCCATCGGAGGTGGATGTGTTTATATGTATGCACAGCCAAAATGGACTTGAATGTGGGACTCGTTTTTCGTCGAGGCCATCGTGCCTATCGCATATCAAGTCAGCGCATCATGTTCGAATCTTCTACTTCATTATCACGCCCGCTAACATATGTCTCAGTTCTTAGCAGACGTTCGCGACGCAGGAAACAACAGCTAGGCGCAAATCGCGAGCTATAGCACGGGGGTATTGTCAGCGAGAAGCGGCGCGCACCTTTCCACCCTTCAAACAATCTCGGCCGCTCGGCCGCTGCAATGCCTTTGCTGCGAGTGCGAAGGGGGCGCCCTGGAGGGCCTCTGTAGCCATCTGCGGTCGAACAATTTTCCGGGGGTCGTCGGGCCCGCGCCAGGAGCTAGTCCTGCCGGCAGTTATTTCGGGGGCGATGGAGCCGAAATTCGCCATGCCGCGCTGGCGCAGCAAGCCCATCGCCGCTGAAGGAGAGCAGCGGAAGGAGAAATGCGCGAAGGACAAGGGCGGCGACCAGAACCCGAAGATGCGCAGGGCCGCGACGGACGACGCCGCGTTGCCAGTGGCGAGGCTCGCCCTTGCCAACGCGACGGACATTGGGACTTGGGCGCCGCGCTGTTCACCGAGATCGCGCTGCCCATCGCCGCGGGGCTGATCGCGGTCAGCCTGCAGGCGGGCAAGAAGTGCAGCGACGATTCGGCCGCGCTCAAGGCAGGGGAAATGGCGGGGGAGGCCTTCGACCACGAGGCAATGGGCGCGGCGCACATCCAGATATTCATGGCGGCGTTCGGCCACGGGGCCACGGGGGCGGCGGCGGCGGGGGCAGCGCAGCAGACCGATGCCAAGCACAGCGAAGAAATGCTCAAGTTCTTCAACGAGGCGCCCAGCAAGCGCGAGGTCGCGAACGAGGTTGGTCAGCTGACCGGCCACTTCAGGGCGAGGGCGCGCAAGGAGGAGGATGGGGGCGACGCCGATGTGAACGCTGATGCGGCGCGTGGGCCCTCGCCGCCAGCGCGACGCCGCGGCGTAGCAGTATATGCTCAAGCTCGTGGAGTTCGAGGGCGGGGGGAGGTTCGCGGGCGCGCCGCCGCGCGGACCGATGGAGAGGGCACTCAGAAAGTACGTGGACGGGCACAGCAAGAAGTAGGGCGCCTGCCCACAATGATGCAGACCAGCTCGCGTTTGGCCGAGCTGTTGGAACGATTTTTGTTTCTCCCCCCCGCCGCCTCGGCCGCCTCCGCTCCTCTCTCTTGCGGCCAGAATTTTCCAGCAGCTGGCCCCTGGGCCCCCTAAGTCTCGGGGTGGCCCCCCGACGGGTTACTACCCCGAGGGGGCCTCGCCGCGCTAGGGGGGGTAGGGGCCGAAGGGTCGCTTGAGTGGCGAGGGCAAGGGCCCCGGCAAAGGCAGGGGCCCGCGTGCCAAAGGCCAGCCCCGCCTTCGGGGCCCCGCGCACATTGGGCGCGCGCTGGCGGGGCCCGCGCGGCATCTGGCCGAGTGTGGATCGCATCTCTTGCGCAGAATAACGTCGGCATCAGGGAACAACCCCGTGGGCGGTTTCGCGGGCGCGCTCGTCGGTCACGATGGCGCGACGCCAGCGCCCCCCTTCGGACCTGGCCCCCCGTGAACAGCAAAGGAAAAGGGCGCCCTGTGAAGCTTGAGGGGCGCTCTTGCAGCCATCTTGGAAGACATCGATCAAACAAGAGGAGAGTTTCAGTTGCGCTCTTGGGCCGCTCATGGGCGCTTTTGGGGCTGTCTTGGAGGCCGCTTGGGGCCCTCCTGGGCCATTCTGGAGCCATCTCGAGGCCTCGAATGGCCATCGGAAGCAACAGTGCGAGACAGAACGACAAATTGAGTTCCCCTAGGTGTTGGACGGGTTCTTGCCATTCGGAGGCCTCCTTGAGGAGCTTCCGGGCAACTTGGAGACACGTCTTGGAGCGGTTTTGATGCTTCTTGGAGCATATTGGGGACCATCTTGGGCCATCTTGATGCATCTCGAATTTACTTGGAGGCCACCTTGGATTCCGAGGCCTTCTTGGAACCGTCTTGGACCATTTTGGGGACGTTCCGGCGCTTCGCGGGGCGCCCCGCCCAGATCCAAGGGGAGGGGGGGGTTTGGGGAGGGGTCGAGGCCCCCCCCCGACGACCGCAAGCCGTGTCGCTCACTCCCACCCGCCCTCCCAACACATAAGTAGTGCCCGAGTCTCAGCAGATCGCCGAAGAAGGCCACGCATACCATGTGCGCCACGGGTTCAGGTGCACCAGGGACTTTGGAGGCCCAAGCGTGTGAGGCGCAGCAAGTGCGGCACGTGCTCCACGAGTGCCACGCGCGGCACGTGTTCCAGCCGCCCCAGGTGCGCCACGTGCTCGGCGCGCGCAGTGCGTGCGAGGTGCGCCATTGCACAGCCGTCACCGGGTGGATTCTGTATTGTTTGCTGGATGGTTGGCCTGCGCACATCAAGCAATATGCCCGCACCCCCGCCGTCCCTGTCGAAAATGAACGCAGAGTCTTCGCAGGGCGCCTCACCGAGTGGTCGCGGGGCGCCCGCGCATGCTCCGCATTTGGAGGCAAAGTGTATGTTGTATGGTTTTTTGAAGAGAGCGGCCGGTTTGCTCGCCACTTATGCGCAACAGACAGCACGCCAACAGTCCCGCCGTCCGTGTCAAAAACGAACGCAGAGTGGTCGCAGGGCGCCCCCCGAGTGGTCGCGGGGCGCCCGCGCATGCTCCGGATTTGGAGGCGAAGTGCATCATGTATGTGTGTTTTTTTACAAGGACGGACGGTCGGTTTGCGCGCAGTTTACGCGCAACAAGCAGCATGCCATCACCCCCGCCGGCCGTGTCAAAAACGAACGCAGACTGGTCGCAGGGCGCCCGCGCATGTTCGAGATTTGGCGGCAATGGTCACTCTGTATTGTTTTGGTGCTCGGGATGGTGGGGGGAGCATGTCCTGGGTTGGCCCACAGACGGGTGGTGGAGGGGGGTACTAATAAGGAGCAGTGAAAAACCTTTTCCCGAAGGGGAAGAGCGGGGTTGGAAGAGAAGTTTGCCTACACCATCCAGGCCCAGAGGGCTGGTGGGATTCCACTCGCAATATAGCCCACTGACTGACAAGAGGTGAGATCAAGGGAGAGGAAGAGGCCGCTGTCTTCATATATTCACATAAATCGTGTAGTGTGTCGCCCACTCGTGCTCGATGCAGTGCGCCGATTCGTTTTTCTCGCGCAGCACATGTGTCATCAGTGCACGAGAGGCCGCACACATGTGTTGGCCTTCATGTTCACGCCACTGCGCCCCCAGGATTCCGATGGAGTGACGTGCAATGTCTGCAAGCATAACGCATAGCAGTTGCCATTACCATATGAGGCTGCGACATGGCAGATGAATCGCACGGTGGAATTATGATTGAACATTAGACGCAGCGAGTGTTTTTGTCATACTTGGTTTTGTTTTCTTGCACCGTTCCATCCAGCGCAACTCCAAAATCAGGGCCTCGGTCCCAGATGCTCACACAGTGCCTGCGCGGGTAGTTCTGTTGTGACCCGCAGCGCCGACGCCTGCAAGGCTCGTTTCGTCGTCGAGGTTCCAACGATTGCGCCAATGGGGGGCGTCGCAGAGGTTCACGAGCTCAGTGACGGCCCGCAGTGTTTCGAGCGTTCTCTTGATCGGCGCAGCAGTGGCGCTCGCACCGTGGAGGATTGTCTTGGCCGACGCCGCGCGCGCCCTCAGCCTCAGCGCACTCCTGTCCGTCGCCGACGGTCTGCTCCATCGCGCCAGACCCAGCAGAGCACACGAAAGTTGGGACAAGAGATATTTTCTCCAGTTTGACGTCCCGGCGAGGGTTCAGGCTGTTTTTGTTGACGTTGCGTAGGTGCAGTCCCATAGGTGTTTGCTCGTCTCTCCCACCAGGGAGTTCGAGGACTGGAGGGTCAAGGACCTGCACGCCAGGAACCAGCGCGAAGGCGAGTGGCAGAACATTCGACAGCAGGCCACCAACCGTTGGACCATTGGGGCGGCCACGTAGAATTGTCTGGATAGGAGGTGATGAGCTCACTACGAGTAAAAATGGTGCCAAGGAGTTTTGCCGATTCTGACGTGGCTCCTCGTGCGAGTCTTTTCCGGCAAGAGCCGCCCTGGTAGTGAAAACGTGGCAGCGGTGGTTATAAGTAGCAGCGTGAGCTGGACGAGTTGAGTATCTCCCCGAGAGAAATGGTCCACAGGTCGCCTGCGTGATACTTTATAAAGTAGGATCGTTGCGCCTCGCGCAGCGCGAAACGAGCGTAGTTGGGTGACCTACCAAGAGGTGAGGCATATTGATTGCCAGAGGAGTGCTTTCGTGCTAGATTGGATTCGGCGTTGACGTGTCCAATGGCCAGCCGCAGGGTGACCTTACCCCCTCTTTTTCTCTGCCCTCTGGCAAGGCGAAGGCCTATTTTGCCCCCAGGCACTCGATCACGCGGGGCGCATGCACGATTCATCATACGAGGCAGGTTCGTGCCGAGTCGACGCGGCGGCAACACCAGAGCAAGCGTTCAAGGTAGAACACCCTCTGGCGGCCCGTTTTTGGCCTCTGGGCGCACAGAGAATAACCCGCGTCGCGGTATTCATAGCAGATATGGTATCTACAGCCTTTGGGGATTTCGAGATGCGATCGTTCAAGATCGAGCGATGCACTGCATGCCAGTGTCAGAAATGAGTGCCGGCGTCGTCAGGGCAGGACTATGCTGCGCGTAATCGTCATCCTGCATTAAACACACCCGGTGATATCTGTGTCATGCGTTGTCGCGCTTGATCGCGCCATTGCATTTGTTGGTGGTGGGATGTTGGGTAAGACATCGCACGTTTCTCATACAAGCAAGGCCGATGCGGATGGATGGTGTGTGTGCAGATTTGTTCGTCATGCCATAGCGTGGTTCAAAAGGCTTACGCCATTCCGTCGACCTCCAACACGATCAGAGTCGTGACATTTGTTTGAAGGGTGCGGTTGAGTCTTGGTCGTGCTCCAGAGGCCTGTCTGTGGCCTTGTGAAATCTCAGGGTGGGTGTTTGAGGGATCGTTCTCTTTATCTGGTTGTTCGGTTCGTGGATGGAAAAGATAGAACGCGGATGTGCTTCTAGGGGTCTTCCTCGGATCTTTGTGGGCGGTCGCAGGTCGCGCCCGTTGGACTGTGCGCGCGCCGCACACTGGCGCATTTCGTGTGGGTATCGCCTGCTCGCCCGAGCGCGGGTGCTGCGTAGGTGCGCGATTGGCTAAATACAGGGGACACGCCGAGGCCCGCTATTGGCTCGTCGCGCTGTCTTGTGTACGTTTTCGACTATGGCCCTGCACTTGCCCGTGCTTTCGTGGTGTGGCCAATCTGTGGCCTGTCGTCACTGCGCGTCTGCGCGGCATGCGGTCGGGCAATGTTGCCCCCGCGCGGACGGCGCATGTGCGAACTCTCGAGCCGCCTCCCATGCGTGGCCAAAGGTCGAGGACCCCGTCGGTGTGGCCCATGCGCGCCATGTCGGGCCACGGCCCGTTAGTACTAGTGGTAAATCTCTTGTTTTTGTCATTCCCTTTTTTCGGGGCGCAGCCCATGCGCGGCCATTTTGGCCCAGGACCCGTGTGTGGACAAAGGTCCGCCTTCACCCAAGAGCCCCACTTGGCGTGGCCAATGCGATTCCTTCCGTCCCAGGGCCCATGCGTTGCCAATGGTCGAGCCCCGACGACCCCGCCTTCCCGAGGACAGTCCATTCTTGGTTTCTCAACCCAACGCCCATGCGTGGCCAATGGCCTGTGTTGTTGGAAGCCCCATGCGCGGCCCATCCCAGGGCCCACGTGCATTGATCATATGTTTGTTTTCAGCGTGCCCTTCTTTCAAGGGTTGCCCACGCAAGGCTTTCCGCGCGCATAGTGGCATTGCTTCTTCACCGCAGGCTCCCCTTGCACAAAAATGTGTGTGACGTCCGCTCGTTTAGCTCCGCATCTCTTGCGTCTGCTCTTGGTGAACTCCTACCCGACTCACCGCTGCCGCCGCCCGCGCGCGCTCACACGCTTAACAACTGTCATAGTGCCCTGTTGCCTGATACTTCCACTGGGACGTTTCCTGGCGCCGCCTTTGATTGTTCTCGTGTGCCGGTGGGAACGCCTGCAGTAGGCCTCGGAGCCACCGCTGGATTCGCTTCGCCCCCTTCTTCTTCTCCAACCTTCGCTGATCGACGATGTGCCGGTGGGAACGCCTAAAGCGGCGGCGCCAGTGAAACGTCTCCAGACAACGCTTTCGCGCGCCCCCGCCGCCGGGCTCAGGTCACATCGCCCACTAACGCGTCTGCATCCGAGCATGTGCGCGTCATTGGAGATCGCGCAGGACGGACATTTCAGCGAAAGGCCCCAAAGCGGTATCACATCCATTTTCGCAGCGGGGACAAAAGCCTCAACCACCCTCGGTGGCGCTCCCAACACAGCTCCCTGCGGCGCGATATTGTATCGCAGGCGTCGCCCTCAGCCAGTGATTTTGGCCGAGTTTCGAGACCAGGTAGAAACTTACACGACCCAGGATTTGTCGGGTCTGGCTGCGCAGACACACCGAGGTTCCCACTCCACTGCAATACAGACGTTTCACGACTACCTCTTTCGAGCGGGGGCACAACTCGTGAGCGTCAGGGACTCGGGTGCTGCCGCCGTCAGGACACTACACGATGAGCTCCTGACCGCGTGGTATGTTCCAGCTACTGAGGCGCATGATCCGTGATGACCTCATTGCGCTTCGTGATCACGTTGACGTGACCACTGCCGACCTCCACTCTCAGCAAAACCACAACCACTGACGTCCGAGTTCCACGGGAAGCTGCGCACTGCCGATATGGCTACTGCTCAACGTCTTGATGCATCAGAGGGACGTGTGCCAGCGCTTGAGCACCGAGTCTCCACGGTCGAGCAACAGTTACCTGGAATGCTGGCTGCACTGGCTGGGTTGTATGTTGTGCGGACCCAGACTGGCCAGCTGGGCACCCCGACTTCGGTTTGCGATTCCGCCCCCCTCGCTGCCGATATGGCCAAGGTAAGGAAGGCGGCTGACCACGTGCAGTTGCGACTCACCCATATATCCCAAGAAAGAGACGCTGAAAAAGGCGAGGGCAGAGGAAGTCCTCACCCGTCCGTTTGGAACCAGAGCGCGAAGCACACAACTGACGATTCCAGGACCTAGATCATCGGCTGGATCGGCACCCCCCAGCGAGCTTATGACACCAACGACGAGGTACGTGGTGTGCGACACAGTGTCTGTCGAGCAGTTGCAGAACGATCTCGCGACCACCGAAGCCGCCATGAAGGTTCGCGTTAGCGACGCCCAGATCCAGTGCCCTTCGCAACCGCCAGGGCCTACCACCGACAGCGCCCCGACCATTGCCGGTGGCGACATCCGCACTGGACAACCGCGACGCACGTCACCCGGATCTGCCTCGGCACCACCCAGATCCAGAAGTCAGATGCTGTACGTATTCCTCAACTGCCACGCGCTACTCAGTTACAGGAGTGGCAACAAGTGGCCACGGATAAGTTCGGCAGTGCCTCCGGACGCCCTGCCAAGGCGCGCGCATTCCTCCGCGTCGCCGAACAACCTGACTCTACATTTGAGGACTTGCAAGACAGTGGCGATTTCGAGGGTGCCGATTGTAAGCTTGCCGCTGGACCATCGACCGTTCTCAATACTGAGCTCCGCAACAGATGACGAGCCTCGAAGCCCAAGAGAATTTCCGGCCGCGTGTTGTGAAAGGTAGAGAAATATTTTGGACGGTGCTGAAATCTCACAAGGTCACTGACGTCGACGACGCGACGCACGACTGAACGTCTACAACTTACTCGCATGCGGGGCGACGATCTCTCACATATTCTTGTGGACTGGGACGACTCACTTCCTGAGTATCCCGTGATCCATTGGGCGCGAAGATACTCGAGTCATTGTTCCGAGCGCAGATCCGCAGACACCCGTGGATGAAGCGAGACATGCGCGACTGCAACAAGTTGGAGGTGGGCGACCCCAATCGTTCGTGCGATGGGCTGCGAGAGCGCGTTTTGTTGGCCAACGTCGAGATGCGCCGGCTCGAGCGTAAGAAGCACGATCTCAAGAACGAGACAATTCGCCACGAATTGGCTGCGCGCGCAGCATGCAGGGCAGTTCGCAGCAAAAACGGCGACTGGTGCATATTGCCGCACACTGGCAGTTGCGACCGTTCCACGCCGCGACCCCGCAGACGCGCGTCGCAGACCGACGCGGGCCCCCGCGAGGAACGATCCTCCACGGGGCGAGGCGCGCAACGGCCGCCCACGGGCGGAGGCGCCAATAATTTCTGTTTCTTTTTTTCAAACCATGGCGCCTGCCCGCGAAAAGACCCGGGCAAACAGTGCAAAGCAGGGCAACAGCTGCCGCTGCGCCCGCGTCGCGTCTGACGCAGAGACCCCCAAGAGGAGCCCTTGCCGCGCCTGCAGTCAGGGCAGCCGCAGCGGGGCGTCCTCCCCCGGGCGCGCGGGGGGCCATCGACGCTCCTCGCGCGGGGGGCGCCAAGGCTCGCGGAGTCCGGGGCGCCGCGGGCGGGCTGATCCGGTTCCGGTGGATATGCGATGGAAGGCCCGGCGCCCGCCGCAATCCCGATCTCCATCGCGGGGCGGCAGCCGCGGGCGCAGTCGTGGAGGTTCACGCGGCGACTGAAGCAGCAGCAGCAATTGCGAACGGTCATTTTCGATGCGCTGGCGGCCTCGATCCCCCGCCGCGCCGCGATGCTTTCGACGACGGGACCGAGCGCGCGCGATCCGCGAAATGAATTTGACTATCACAAGCCGACAACCACGGCGCCGACGTCTCGACCTCGACAATATCGACGTCATCACCTACGCGGTGCCCAAGCGACAGCTGGCCAAATTGCGCGCCGAAGCCAACGACGGCCACCCCGTCGTCGCGCCCGACAAGTTGCCGGACAGGCGGCTGCAGTACGGCGCCGAGGCGCTCCGGGC